CATGTTATCTAAAATTTTCACTGAAAAAATGTCTTTTTGTACTATCTGTACTCACCCTTTTTTTTTTCCTCTTTTCCCTTCTCATCTACTTCAGCTTTTCCCTATAAGAATACTCCTTTTTTGCCCACTAAGTGACTTCAGATTTTACATCTCAAAAAGCCAGCTCTTATCCCTTATAAATTACACCAGTTTTCCCCTAAAAAACATCACCCTTATAAGTTACTTCAGTTTCCTCCTCAGAAAATGTTTATTTGTGCTCTCTTCCTCAGACTTTCCCCATGAAATTCTTGCTTTTTGCAAGCATTAGTCTCAAACTACTCCCTGAAATGCTCACTTTGTGCCCTCTGTATTGCCTTTTCTTCCCCCCCCCAAACATTACCTTTTCCTCCCAACTCCATTCTTTTAACCTTTTAAATTACCTCAGATTTTCCATTAAAAAAATCCCATCTGAGTTATCTGACTTTCCCCTCAGAAATCACCTCTTTTCCCTGTAAGCTTACCTCAGTCTTTTTGTACAACCTAAGCTCTGCTATCTACATTACTCCAGCTTCCTTCCCCCCCAGCTCATCTGTATTCCTCTTAATTTACCTCACAAACATTCACTGTACCCAGAACCCAAGTTTTTCCCTAAAAAAAACAATTATTTTGCTCAACATCTTACCTCCATCCTCTCCAAACTATCTCAAGTTTTCCCTCTATAAACTCACTCCACACTTTCTCAGCCCCCACCAAAACATCCCTGTGCCCTCTGTAATAGCGTAAATCTTCCCAGGTGTGACCTTTCAAACATTTTTATTATGAAATCCTGGCTGCCCCAGCTTTCTGGCCCTTGCTAAAAGGCAGAGGGAGGCACTGCAGCTTCACGCAAGAAGAACCCTGCAGAACAGCCTGGTCCCTGCAGTGACACAACAGGCACTAACAGCCATCTCAGGGCTATGCACAGGTGACTTGTTTTTAGGGCTGAGATTGCTCTGTGGTTGTTGTTTTTCATCTCCTCTTTGCAAATCATTCTCTCCATCTCTAGAGGTGCCCAAGGACAGGCTGGATGGGGCAGACTGATCTGGTAGGGGACACTATACAGGGGGTTGGGACTGGGGGGGTTGTATGGTCATTTCCAACCCAAGCCATTCTGTGATCCTATTCAAGCATTAAGCATAGTGCCACTTGATTAAGTCTAAAAAGCAGACAGGGGAGGAGGAATGTAAACATTGGTCCCTGATTCTACATGCTAGTTGTTAGCCCTAACAAGTATTAGTTATGATTTTTAACTGTTGGTAAAGTAACGCTCAGAAGTCAGCTGATGCATTAAAAGGAATGCAACAGAAGATGAAAATGCAGCTAGTAAAACAGATGGGTGTGATCAGAGTGTTGCACATCCTGAAGACAAGATAAATCTGACTGAAGGGGCTGGTAGGGTAAGTTGTGTTGGATGGGGCAGGAGCTGGCTTGTCAGTAGTCAACAGATGTGCTGTTTTCCCAGAAGGAAAGTTTCTGGGATTGAAACTGGGAGTGAATAGCCAGAACCCCAGGGAGAGATGCCAGTGCTGCTACTTCTGTCTCTTGTGAGCTTCAGGGAAGAGAGTTAATGGGAGGGCTGGCTGAAGGGCCAGCTGGAACTTTCCACTGGTACAAGCTTTTCTTAAGAAAATGTGTAAACAGTGCTTCCCACAGGAAATTGCATGCGTTTTCACTGAAGATGGAGGAACGTGCAATAAGCCAAGGCCCATCCATCCCACTGAAACAGTGACCTCGTGCTTTGTAGCGCTGGCCACAGGTACGGTATGGTCAAGGTCAACGTTTTAGAGCTTGGAAGTGACTGTGTCCCTCTGTCCTTTCAGGCCTCTGCCTTTTGGTGGCAGGATAAAGGTAGCACAGGGGTTGCTCTGATATGCTCCTGTATTTGCCTGATGGAAACAAGTCAGGTCAGAGAGAGCTTTTGAGTTAAAGCAAAGCAGAAATCTCACAGCAAAGGTCCAGTGTGGCTCAGGCAGGATAAGTCCCAAAGCTTTCTCAGAACTGATCTTGGAAGATTGGTGCTAGCAAGCAAGGCATTAAATCAGTTCTTATTTTGCTGTTTTTTTTCTCTTCAAATACATTTCCAAAACTTTCTGACAGAAGCCAGAGCTGTTAGCCTTACTCAGCACATTCCTTTGTCCCTGCAAGTTGTTTTTGCTTTTTAATATGCAATTATCACTCAATTTGTTTTTGTTTCCAAGGTTTTTTGGCAGCTTTGGTGCTCAAATATTTCTTGTAGCAGTCATCAAGATTTAATACATTAAGCAGTTGTTTAGGAGTCATTGTACACTTCTGAAAAGTTCTTCTGTCTTTTCTTAACACTGTAAGAGATCCAAACCTGTGGATGGGTTTGTTGGAGGGGGCAAGAACTCGGCTCTCTCTTTTTTGGGGTGAAAATCATATTTTCCACCTTTGGGAATAATTCTTGCTTTGAAACTTCAGTAGTTGTTTGTAGTATCTTTCATGGTAACTCCAGGGTTGATGTGTAGAATTAAACAAAACATTCTGTGTAGGACAGAAAAAAGCTCTGTGTCATTTAAAAGAATCACAGAGTGGCTGAGGTTGGAAGGGCCCTTAAGGATCATGGAGCTCCTCTGCTTGCTGTGGGCTGAGTTGCCCCCCACCAACCCAGGCTGCCCAGGGTCCCAACCAGCCTGGCCTTGGGCACCTCCAGGGATGGGGCACCCACAGCTCCTTCTGCTTTGACTTCTTTTTTTTTTACCCTAGTTTAAGAAGAAAATAGGAAAATCCCTTGTGCTCAGAGAAGAGAACATTCCTTCCCTCTTCATTTAAGAAGAGGATGCCCCTTTGCACCTACAGCTCTTCAGAAAATGTTGGCACGCTGAGTGACTTTGTAACTTTGGTTCAATGAATCAATGTTTAGGGGGCTTGATGCAGCAGAAGCATGGCTTGATGTTCTGCTGGAAGTTCTTTTCCTATTCCTTACCAGTTGTTCTTCAGCGTGCTGTGCATGATTTCCTAAGTATATTACTCACTTCTTTGTGGCAGCTCAGAAGGTGGGAATTTAGTTATATTCTTGTTTAGTGTTTATTGAGGTGCTGGTGTAACTGGCAGAAATATTTGCTGCAGGCACCCAGAAGCAACAAGGCTCTCCATAGAGAATATTCACCAATTTATGCTTTTCAATGGCAAAATCTAATTTGGTAGCAACTTAAAAAATGACTGAGGTGGGTTTTGCTTGCTTGGTTTTTTACTTTGCTTGTTTTCTATTACAAATAGACCAAACAGAAGAATGCAAAAGCAAATGGGAGATTTTTCACAATCTATCTAAGTACTTGAAGCTAAGGAAAGTGAGGAATGATGCTGAAACTATTGAAGCTAAGGAAAGTGAGGAATGATGCTGAAACTACTGAACGGACACAGAAACAGTGCAAGCAAAATACAAAGCAAAAATGTATCAATCATTTAATGCTTGGCATAAATCTAATTAGAAATCTAATAAGTGGGAAGATGTAGCATATATTGTTTCGTTGTGCAGACCTGGTTTGTCATTTCACTGGTACTGCTGTAACAGCAGAGATTGCTCTCATTCCGCATTTCTGAGAAGGTTTCTGTTGTCAGTGTCCTGTTTTGTGTGGTTTGAGCAATAAACAAAGGTTTATTTCTCTTATTAGCTTGGGACTATTCCTCTAAGGATAGGGACAGATGTTTCCCACACCTGCTATTACCTCCTTTTATGTGCTTTCAGTAGACATTGGGCAAGTCTTGTGGCAGTTCATAGAATTGTTTGAGTTGGAAGGGACCCTTAAAGGTCATCTAGTCCAACTCCCCTGTACTGAACAAGGATATCTACAGTTGTTTCCACAGTGATAGTTGCTGAAAATTTGATTGTTTCTCTGCAATATTATCTAGTTATTCTTACATTTATAAGTCAAATGAGACAAGACAAGGAAGCATCATGGAAAAAAAGCCAAGTGCTATGAACAACAATTTTTCTTAGAGCTGGCTGAGCTGCCACCAGCCCACAGGGCAGATGGCTGGAGTGAGAGGCTCCGTCTCTCCCCTAATGGTCTTAGGGGGCATTCATAAATGTTTCTGTATCAGCCCGAGGAAGGATGTGCCTTTGACTTTGTGCTGCTGAAGCTTGCAAAACTCCCCTGTTCTGGTGTGCCAACGTAGGGCACTGATTTGCCAGTTAAACAAAACTGAGTGGGATGTTTGGAGCAGCTGTTTGGAGCTGGGGATGATGATTGAGGAGCTCAGGGGAAGGTATGGGCAGCAATGAAGCTCTGATCAGATTAGTTTAATCATAGGGGAGGAAGGAGTCTTGTTCAGCCTTGAACTATACGGTAAGTGTAGTAGATCCTTGGCCATGTGGCTGCTACCAACCCTGAGACACAGGAGTTCTTTGCAGAAGCTCCTGCAGTGTTTTATTAGCTGAGGCCAGTATTGTGAGGAGCAATGGAGGGCTGAATGTGTTATTTTGGGTTGTTTGTGCTCACTCCTTCAACACTGTCTTGTATTCTAACAGCAAAGCAATCCACACACCAGCTGTAGGAAGCTACTGCATGCTCACAAAGACACCAACAGGCAGAGTCTGTTACAGGGACTCCAGATGTGCTGGAACACTTGCAAATTATTTGTATTTCAGCAATCTCACCAGTATGAAATGAACAGAGGAAGCTCTGCCCCAGGAGAGCACACGTGGCTGCAGTCAGTCAACAAACAGGGTGAACAGAGGCTGCACTGGGGCCACACTGCCATCCCCCAGCACAAGCCCCAGCCCTGTGCTTGACAACATTTGGTTTTATTTGCACACAAATGTTACCACTGAATCTCAGTATCAGCATCTCAAATTTAATCATTGCCTGTGAAGGAAAGCATTTATTCCTATTTAAAAAGAAGAAAAATAATATTGTTCTATTTTCATAGTAAAAAGTTACCTGTTCCGAAAACCATTGTTCACATGGAAATAGTGGGAAAATGAGTAAATAAGTGGCCTGCACTTTGTAACAGAAATATTGTCAAAGCAAGGCTGTTGAGCTGTCCCATCTCCTTGCAAAATACCATGAGTGGCAAGTGACTACCAGCAGGAAGACCTTACTGGTGGGGGCATGGGACCCAGGAGCCATGCTGATACCAGCTGCCCCACACTTGTCCTTGCTTTCCAGCTCAGGTGGTGCTGTGCAGTCCGTTGGGTCCCCTGGTTGGGGGACACCGAGGGCTGTTGTGTTGTGGCGGCTGGGGAAGGCGCAGTCCAGGCCTTCGAGTGCTCCCCTGAACATGGATGTCCACCGCAAGAACCAAAACATCTTGCAGTCACACTTCCAGGGGTTGTGGGACAGGAACACGTACTTCAGTTTTGGCAGTTCTACAAACAAGCGGAGGGGAAGTGAGCTGAGGTTGTTCTTGCTCAGGTGAAGGAAATGTAGCTTGTTCAGGTAAGAGAAAGCAGAGCCCGAAATAGAGGATATCTGATTATTGTTCAGGTACAAGTTTCTCAAGTTAAGCAGAAGTCTGAAGGTGCAGTCAATATCAGTGATCCTGTTGGCTTCGAGGTGCATAGTCTTGAGCTGGATCAGCCCATCAAAAAGCTGATTAGGTAAATCAGCAATGAAGTTGTGTCCTAAATTTAAGACGCCCAGTCTGAGAAGCTTTGTAAAAGCGCCGTTTTGAATGATCCATATCCGATTCTTCCTGAGATTCAGATCGTACAGGGATTCCAGGTCCTTCAGGGAATCTCTGCCAATGGCTTCTATGTGATTGCTTTCCAGTGACAGCCTTGTGAGGCTGGAGAGATTGCTAAAGGCTTGTGGAACATAGCGCATGTTATTGGAGGCTAAGTTGAGTCTTTCTAAAGAGGGCAGGTGTGAAAACAGAAGTGGATGGATTTCAAAGATATTGCAGTGAGACAAATCCAAGCTGATGAGATTTAACAGTCCTCTGAAGGTGTTTGCATGCAGGTAGGTGAGGCGTGAGTTCCTGCTGAGATCCAGCTCCCGCAGCTTGCTGAGAGCATGGAAGGTCCCTGGGGAGAGGAAAGTCAAATTGTTTCCATCCAGCCAGAGGCTGTGGAGGAAAGTCAGGTTTCTGAATGTGTTGGTGGTCAGAATCCGCAGATAATTATTGGAGAGGTTTAGAGAGACTGTGGATGCTGCAATCTCTCCAGGGAGGGCTCTCAATCCAGCTCTGTTACAGTGAATAACCTCCTCCGGTGCACATTTGCACATACTTGGGCATGAATCAGAGATATTCACACTCAGCCCAGCCTTTGCTGCACAGTCAAATATAAATATAACAAGAAAGAACATGATCTGCCACAAGTCAAACACCACATCTAATCACAGATAGTAGAGGAGACAAGAAAAAGAGCATGTACCTTTTGGATACGTGAATTGCAAGCATTGCAGCGACCTTTGGGCTGAGCTTACAGTGAAATTGAATTAGGTAGTTCTGCCTGCTGCAGACCAATGGGGATCAAGTCTTAGGCAGATAAAAGCTGATTAAGTGTTGCTGTGCTGCAAAGAGTATTACTGAGAGGCAGAAAGATTTTTGCAGTTGAGCATCATGCTCTAGCAGTGTTTTTTTTTTTCCCACCTCCTGCTCTCTGCAAACAGCAGCAGGTAACAGACTTTCCTCCAGATCTGAGCGACCCTCAACAGCTCCGTGGATGATTGTGGCTCCTCAAAGGGAGAATGTCATGAGCTGAGCAAACCTTGTGCTCACTGCCAGCCAGAAACATGCCGGGCAGTGCCGTGTCCTGATGCTGCATTGCTTCTCAGTAAGCCCTGAGCCATCTGTGGGTGGGAAATGATTAACCCAGGGGCAAAGCTCAGAGCACCCAAGGGCATGCTGCTCTTTCCTGTGTCTGAAGATGCCACTGAACAGCCAGAGCTGAGCTGGGGTCCCTAGAATGTATGTCTTTATATTTCATCCTATATCCAGAGTGCAGAGAAAAAGCTTTTGTTTTCATTTACAAGATTCAGTGATTCCATTCTTGCCATGTAGATATTGCTTTCTGAAAAGGACTGAGTGATTGGACCCACGTGAGGACATTGCAGGGCCCTCCTCAAATTCCCCTGCTTACATCAATCCTCTTGTTGCTTGTGCTCTGGAGGAAGTGTGAGCAATCTGTGAGGTCCCTCACTATTGGAGTGATGAAGTTTTTGAGGTATTTGAAACACCTCGTCCCAGCCCCTTCCATCCAGGTGCTTCTCATAGCTTCTTGGTCTGCCAACTCTTCTTCCTAGTTTACAGATTTGGATTTCCTGTCACTCCCCAGCACTTTCTCCTCTTAAAGCTGTCAAAACATGGTCTGTCCCCACTGTCCAAACAGTGGCTAAAAATATCTGATATGCCCAATGGTGTGAACTGGGCAAATCTGCAAAACGCACTGTTTTCAGTGCAGAAACAGATTAGATTTCCTGTCCTGTTAGATCACTGTGTTCTGTTTTCCTCCTCATTTTTTCAGGCAACAACCCTCCAAAGAATAGTTGCTCCCTGTAAGCTTGGCTAGGACAGCTGTGTTGTGTAACAGAGACCATCTTCCAGCTGTAAATAACATCATTTATTTAGTTAGACAGGCTTTGCCTTGGCCGAATGCTGGTTCTCACCCTGGTAGCAGAGGTGTCATGGCCTTGGCGAGGGGTTTGTCCTGGGAGCACCAGAGAAAGATGGAAAGGTGCTGCTGTCACCTTTGGGGCCACATCAAAGGTTTTAATGGTTGAACCTTTGTGTTTTCTGTTTTCACGGCTCAGTTGGGACTGCAAAGGAGCCAGCTTTCTGCTGGGCTCCATGTCCCCAGCCAGGAATGGTGTATCTTGCCCCTAGCTGGAGCCTTGTAACTCAGGCTGGAGAAGACAGATCACTTGCCATGACGCCCTTTTAATTTTATGCAGCCTTTTTGGTTGCTATTCCCTCGGTGTCGCCACATTTTAGCCCTTATTTAAGTCCATCTCAATCTCTCTCTGTGGTTGTCCCACCCCATCTGCTAGAAGAGTTTTCTGGAGTACATCATGCATTTGGCTGTGATGGCTCATCCTTCTGGCACTGATGGAAAGGCTGAACCACTGCAAGTCTTCTGTCGAAATGCACTACACCCACACCATGACCACGAGTGTGTTCTGCCTTTTCTTCACTAATTTGTCTGACATTTGGGATTTTCAGACCAGCACACCCACTTCAGAAATTATTTGTAGCTGATGTCAAGTGCCCTGCCTAATACTGTAGGCTTTAAGGAGCTGTATTTTCTTCACAGAACGAAGAGCAGTTCTAAGCAGTCCACAAGCATCTACTTCAGGATTGTCATGTGGGCCTAATGATTTAAAAGAGAAAGGTTTGCTTACTTTAAACTTTCTGGTGAGCAAAGGTGAGATGGATGGAATCACTGAAAGAGGGAGATGATGTGATGCTCACAGTGAATGCAGTTCTGAAAAGAGGGAAGATTTTTTTTTTTTAAAGATCTCTGAGTTCTCTGGAGTTCTTAGCTGTTCCTAAAAAAGCACTTTGAGAACATAAAAAGAAACATCCTTTAAATGCTGGGTTATTTACAGATGTATTAATGCTAGTAAAGCAGAGATTAGACACATGGGAGCTCTCTTCTACAGGCTGTTGGCATTGATCTGTTGGCTTCAGCAACCAGTCTGGGGGAAGGGAGCAGGTGAAAACTACCTCTGATGAAAAATTGATATTTACAAATGCTGAATATGAGTTCCCAAGGGTTCCCATTGCATTCCAGCTGAGTTGGCCTTCGTTCCTGAAATGCTTTGCTTTGCCCATAGCAGCATCAGTGGGAGGTGGGCTCTGTGGCCGTTGGGGACAAGAACTGGTACCTGGTGTTTTATCTCCTCTGACCACAGCTCAAATCTGTGCAGTGCTTGGGCATGGAGCTCAGACCAGGTGTGCTGTGCTGCTCACCCTGAGCTGCCAGGGTGTGAGTGCACGCACTGCTTCTAGTGGCACTGGGTGCAGCGTGATTCCAAAGTCATTTATGTGCTTGTTTTCTTTACTGCTTTTAGTAACTTGTAAAATGCTTGAGGCCAATTATTTGTACAAGCAATGTCATACTGGATAAGCTCAGTCTTGGCAGTGCTATCGGCTGGACACAAACATTAAATAAAAAAATAAGCCTTGAAAGCTTTTTTTCTGCATATTGGATGTGGAAACAGCATCCCTCTTGCCCCTCTACTGCCTCTGCCATATGGGCTGCAACTGAATTGCTTCAGAAATTGTTGCCTTCTAGCAAATGAATGGGAACAGAGTTCTCTGATACCATATTCTGGTGGATCCTGGAGAGGTGGTCCTTATATTCACTCCACTGTGGAACACTAAGGATCCACCACCTCCCTGGGCAGCCTGAGTCAGTGCTAAGCCCCAGCACAACGCAGCAGGGGCTGCAGCTGCTGTGTGCGAGCAGGACTTGCTGCTTCAGACATCAGTTTTTAATGGGGGACTGCTCCCCCATGTTTTAATGGGGGACAGCCACATCCTGAAAGGGATGAGAGGGTCCTCCAGAAGTGCGCTGAGAAGAGGGGAAGTAGGTACTTCTACCTTACAGTTAATCCCTAAAGTAATTCTTAAACAAACAGAAGTGGGAAGGAAGAATGCATATAAACGTTTATGGAGTGCACACGGAGCCGAGCTGTAGGAGGAACAGTTTTGGTGTGTGTGTGTGTGTGTGTTAAGAAGACTCAGTGTCCAGCACGATGCAGCCACATCACGCCCAAGCTGTGTGATAGCACTGAGTCCCCATTCTCTGCTGCTGCCCTGGGACTATGGTTTTTTGTGTTTTCTTTTTGTTTTCTTCTTCTTTTTTTGAAGGGGGGGGGGGCAAGAGGGCAGTCAGGGAATGCTGCTATAAATCAGTACTGAAGGGATCAGAGTCTTTCTGACCCACACAAGGCGACTTGTCTTGGGGAGCACATTTACAAGAGCCTTTCTCTCTTTCTTTCTCCAAAAGAAACAAACCAAGCCCTTGAATATGCTCTATAGCTAGATCCCTTGTTGCCTCGAGAATTTGGCAAGGTTTAGCCTCAGGAGCTGGCTCTGACCGTCTGCTGGAACTGATACATTGATTGCTTGGAATATTCCATCCCTGACAGCAGCACTGTCGTGCTAAAGACCAAGACCCAGGAACTGGACTGTGTTAGTTCAGATTTTTGAAGCATGCACAGTTGATCAGAAGTTGCTACTTGAATAGTGGACATGAGTTTTGTGTGGTTGCTTTTTGTATGCTTGCTTTTGAACACATCTAATGACTTCTTTAGGTGTATAGACTTGAGAGTAGAAAGGAAAGCCTGGGTTTGCTCAGAAATAGCAAGAGAAAGAAACAAGTGACATGGAAATAGAAGAGGCAGAAGTTTTGCATGTGACTAAATGGAGCTTTGGAGCAGGACTTGGGATCAGATAGGGGATCACATGCATTGAGAAATGACAGGGGAAGAAGAAGAGCAGGATTTGGCAAAGGGCTGCCAAAAGCAGGACTCCCACTGCAATGACTGCATCAGGTCCAGCTCTTTTCTACCAAGACGTGTGGACCCAGGATACAGTTTTAATGTGTTTTTGTGATAATGATAGAACAGGAAAGACTGCCAGTATCTGTGAGGATCAGAAGTATATCTGGAAGGGAAAATGTTAGATTTAAATCTAAACAATCTGAGGTTGTTATCTTTGCAAAATAAACATTCTCATGCTTTTGACTTTTTTCCATGCTTACAAAGTACACTGTGGATGATAGATGAAGGACAGAGGAAGATCTTTCAGCAGCCGTTTGCATGCAAAAGAATTAGCAGCAACAGCTCCTAGCTGAGAGCGTCCTGTCACATATGGTTGGTAAAATATTTAAAGGATTTGGGTAAAAGTGAGTGCTGACAGCTCTTGTCACTCTTAGAGCCTGTAGTCCTCCAGACCTGTGGCGGGGTGTGTGAGAGGAGGGTTGGCTGCATTTCATTTGCTCTGCAGCAGGGCGTGCATCTGTTGCATTTGTACATCCTATGTGCTCCAGCTGACCTGGTTTGTGGATGTTTGGTTTGAAAGAAGGATGGAGTTCTTAGAACATGTGTTTAATGCCCCTTGAGAAAGCTACTGTCTCCCAGCACTGGTTGTGGTATGTTGGAACTGAATGCAGATTTTTTGTTTTAAAGCTTATTAGTTAAGTCTTGACTTTTTCAGCCCCTGAGCTATTATGGGTATTATCATTTGCAAGGGCAATCATTGGGGCACTGCATGGGGG